TAGGTTCGGAATTTGAGGTTTGTGCATTTGAAAATTCTCGACATTTCTATTTAAGCCTATGATAATCTATAGGGCTAAATTTTACGCCCAATCACTTGATAAACAACTGCCTTTTAAAGCTAGTCATAGGACAATTTATATTCGAAGATTTATGTTTTCGATTCTAGAATAGTCTTTCATTAGTTGTATTCCACATTTGGAGGACGTCTAAAACCAGGTGGCTTATTAACAAATTTGTAAATAATTTAAAATCACGTGACGCACATAAATTACTACCTGGCTTTAGTCATTCCGTGAAGAGACTAATTAATTTTGAACGTATTACTAGAAAAAAATACATTTCAGGCACATTATCGTTAAGAAAAGTCATCAAAGAATTTCTTACGTACCTATTTTGATATGCATCCTAATCCAATCCAATAATCATGTATGTACTGTGTAAACTTTGCAAAAAAAATAATGGAAATTAAAAATTACTTTAACGTTAATGGCTTAGCTCACATAATTATCCGTTATTGTCGACTTTTATAAAGTCACAAGCTTGTTCACGAGTATCGGTATAATTTTTTCCGCATTATTACATACATACATGGAAACTTTATTTGCTAGGTTATGCATGTTGTCAATCATCATGAAACATGGCGGTCTTTGTTTTGATAATCGCCTAATTTTTTTTTGAACTTCGAGCGATGATATAACAGTATATACTGCATAGCATTTAAAAAATCTGTGCTAGGTTATGCATGTCGCCAATCATCATGTAACAATTGTCTTAGCTGCGGTCTTTGTTTTGAACTTCGATGATATCACGACAGCTGCATATAAAAATTTTTTAGTTTAATTCTATGAATCCGTAAAATTAAAATAAAAGAAATTCTATTGATTTTTAAGTAGGTAGTTATCGAAAAAATTTTCGGCGATTATCAAACACAGACCATGGCTGAGTTTTCCAAACTTTGAGCGATGATATCTCAATAACTACTTACCTATAATTGATGAAATTTTTTTTATAGAATTAAAATAAAAAAGTTTGTATCGACTTTAGATAAGTACTGAAGTACAATTGTTACATGATGATCGGCGACATGCATAATTTAGCACAGATTTTTTAAATGCAAAATTTTTATAAGCTATATACGTGATATTGTATAGTTCAAAAAAAAAATTTAGGTGATTGTCAAAACAAAGACCGCCATGTTTCATGATGATTGGCATAACCTAGCGCAGATTTTAAATGTCATTTTTTTTATATTGAATGCATTCAGTTTATTTAAATAAAGTTTCATGTATGTAAATTAGTAAATATACTGTATATATATATTGCTCCCGGATGGGGTCATCATATTTATAAGTTATAGATCACATTTATTATATATTGAATCTATGAAAATGCAATCAACTTATGTGTAAATTAGTAAATATACTGTATAACGATAACGATAAAATTATAAAATCCCACTTTTTTACCATTTCTTCCCAAAAGTGAAGACTTTTATGAAATATTAACAATTACCAATATGAGTCAACCCCAACCTTTAATAACTCAAACCGCTAACATTACTCTAAATTCAAATCCATCTTTTAATAATCTTACTGCTGAACAAAAATACGAAATTTTAACTAAAGGTACTACTGACTTGTTCGGTAGTGCACAAGAAATAGAAAATCAAACAGTTCCTCAATTCCCGACCGATATTCTTTCTGGATCATCTTTTCGTTAAGCAAATATTATGAATTTCCTTTTTCCCAAAAAATGGGTTATGCATTTTATTTTATGTATATGCGGCGGATCATGACCTCTTTTATCATCAATTATTGAATCATTTGGTGTTTTTCATCACTTCATTATCTATAAACACTTACTCCAACGATACTCCCTTTCCCGTTGATGCTCATCATCACTTGATAGAAACGCACTATATCAAATAATGATCGAGAACATGTATTAAAATTGACCTTGTCGAAAAACTATGGACTATTGCTGTATTGGATAATTAAGATTTGTAAATCATTCTATCTTTATTTTTATATTATCATCAAGATTAATGAAAAAGAACTCTAGCTTTTTTTTTTCTGTGTTCCTTTTAGGGTGAGTAGCACGCAAAAAAAAATTTGGTATGCCATTAGCTAAAATTCATGCCATGCCATACTATAGGCATGCCATAATATAATTATCGGACTCTTTTCTCTTGTAATTTTATGTTGTTTGATTTTCTACCGGAATATTTAGGAATGTAAAATATTGGTCTAATCAGAGCGAAGTGTATAATATAAGTGACATGTCTTATGACCATTTTGGTTTTGGGCGTGCCCATGACCACCGTGCCACTCACCTGTTCCTTTCAAGGAAATTGACTTTCCCTGTGCATACAAAGATAGGGCATATACATATTATAGTTTTTTTTTAAAAAAAAAGTATACGATAAGCAAAAAGATGTTTCCTCATGATTTCTATTCTAATCAGTGATTCCTTGAAAAAAAATTTCTTTTAAGCGAATGTACATATTATTATATCACTATTATCATTTCTAAAACTATAGGTCTTGATTTTTGAATGAAGTTTATAATGTTATAGTTGGTTTGAATTATTTTATATTTATATATAATATATATAATCTATTAATATTAAATTTTATTATTATCACTACATCACAACATATTATATATTACTGCAACAAAAGAATAAAAGAATCCTTTTTATTTATCTAAAAATAACAATTCATATATGATATGTCAGCATGCATGTTATTTGCGCGAGTTTGCGTTTGATTAACAATATTTTTTTGCTGCTATTTGACCCTTTCACAATTTTTTTTTTGGTAATGCGCCTGAAATGATCTCACAATAGATGTGCTTGAAATGATCATGAAAAATGCGTTTGAAATGATCAAAATATATAACAGATACAATTTTCAAACATATTTCGGTAATTCATTCAAATGCACCGTAACTCCATTGAAAATTATTAATAAACTTTATCAATTCACGATTAATTAATTATACTGTAATTCACAAATATCAAATAATTACTATTATATATGCTTAGAAAAATTGGTTTAATATTTAGATGATTAATTGAGAAATGATTTGCGTACATCAGTTTCGTGTAACATCACATACCAGATACGGGTCGTCTAAAGCGGAGCAGAATCACGTGATATACGACCAATCAAATTATAGAATTTTGATGATCG